GATTCTGCCTCTCTGCTCTGCTCTGGTGAGACCTCACCTGGGGCCCTCAGCACAAAAAGGACATGAACCTGCTGGAGCAGGTCCAGAGGAGGGCCACCAAAATGATCCGAGGGCTGGAGTACCTCTCCTACGAGGACAGGCTGAGAGAGGTGGGGTTGTTTAGCCTGGAGAAGGCTCCAGGGAGACCTTATTGTGGCCTTACAGTACTTAAAGGGGGCCTACAGGAACGATGGGGACAATCTTTTTAGCAAGGCCTGTTGTGACAGGACAAGGAATAATGGATTTAAACTAAAGAAGAATAGATTTAGACTAGACATAAGAAAGAAATTTTTTACAGTGAGGGTGCTGAAGCACTGGAACAGGTTGCCCAGAGAGGTAGTGGAGGCCCCATCCCTGGAAACATTCCAGGTCAGGTTGGATGGGGCTCTGAGCAACCTGATGTAGTTAAAGTTGTCCCTGCTCCCTGCAGGGGGGTTGGGCTAGATGACCTCTAAAGGTCCCTTCCAACCCAAAGCATTCTATGATTCTATGAACTTCCAAAAGTCTGTGAGTTGAAGTCCTACGCGTCTGGACAAAGACTGATTTTCCTTTAATCAGACTGATAAGTCAGTTCTAGCACAAAAAAAAGTGTTAAAAAATTAAAAATTCTTTTTTTTTTGAAAGAACATCTTTCCTAAAATGCAAATGACAACTTGTTATTTTCCCTCTAGCAATATACAAGCAAAAGACGATGCATGAAAATACATTATTCTTCCATATGAAAAATAAATCATACCTCATTTTCCACATGAAGATCAACTTCACCAACACACTGCATAGAACTAAAGAAGTTACTGAACTTCTCATTAATTTGCTCAATCAGCTTTTTCAAGGGGTTTAGCCACCTTTCTTTGACCTAGAAGTAGACATATCCACGTAAAACCATTTTTAATAACTGAATTTTCCTTCAGAGAGAGCATTTAAATTCAAAAATATCATGATTACAGAAGCTAACATCTCAGTTTACACTCAAGACAACTTGGAACGTTACCCTTTATTTCTGTACATACATTCTATTCTAATAAAGACATACTGATACAGAAGTCATAATTTCAGCTATTACCTGTGAAATGTTTTGCTTATAGTTATCCAATTCATTTTTCTTTTCCTCTAGATATTCCGTCAACTGCTGTATTTCTTGTGTCTGCTTATTGTATTCTTCAACAACCTGCCAGAATAAAAAAAAAAAGCAGTCAGCAAAAGGTTTGCCAATTCTAACCTTGACTGTAAAATATCACACTGCACTGATTCTGCTCAAACACAATTATACAGATTATTTCACTGCACACGACACATTTCTAGCTTTAAAGCAAAGAAACTGTAAAGCACTGCTTATTTCGAGTTACTGCAACTTTTTTGTTTTTTAAAAGGCACAGAACACACTGTTCCTTTGGAAGAACCTACTTAAAATTCTAATAGATGCAGAATCTGGCATTTACAGCACATTGTTCCTGCTGTCTAGCTTATTATACCAAGAGATGTAGCACAGAGTGGGAAGCAAGTACAATACGGGTGGAGGGGGAGGAAGGGAGGACGGAGGAAAAGCAGTGAACATGCCGAAGCATTCAGGCCTGTGAAACAGGAGGCCCTGGTTTTCTCTTCATTCAGAAAAGCATCAATTTCCTCCAACGTGGTCGGAAGAGACTGAAAAGCCTACAAGAGAAAGAATGCATGTGTTACACAGCAATGCTAATGAAGGACTCCAGTTTGCTAAAAAGAAATTGAATAAGCCATAAAGTGTTCTATAACTTTTAATCAGGGTGTCACATATTCAAAATGTAACGCAGCAAGATTCCCCCACATTCTGGACAGAGAAAGGCGGCTAGAAGTGCTACTACATAACAAAGACACACAATTAATTGCTACCTTGTGCAGGTACAGATGCTCACAGACTTGGTATAAGCCAGGGGCTATGCTAGTCAAGCCATACAAATACTTCTAGAGGCTGGGAAGACCTCCAGGTAAGTAGGAGGGCCCAATTTCAGTTCTTTTGTGTTGCTCCATAAGAGCAAGAAGCCAGAAAAATATGGCCTCTAATTATTTCTATGAACACAAGACTATAGATTTTAATTGAAATTTCAGGTCAAATTTTCTCTCCCCTGTGTACAGAACAAAGTGACAGTCAGAGGATATCCCAGCACTATTTAGAAGTGCTTTAAAAGGGTAAGTGACAATATATGACTCAACACTAACAGAAGTACACATGATCCTTTACTGGTAGCCTAATATAAAATATGTAATATTCTTTCCTGGAGAAGTTATAATGGCATACATCATCTAAAATTTAAGAGATATGTGGAGATTTGTTTTTGTACGTACAGTTTGAAATTCTTTTGGAAGATGTTGATCTGGACTCAGTTTGCAGACCTGTCGAGCTTTTTTCAGTAATTCCTTGCAGTTCTCTGTAAGAACTCGCTTCCTATCATCCAGTTCACGAAATTGTTGCTGTTAGAAAAGATATTAAAGATACTGAAATACACTTTTTTTTTCACTTTGTATTTCCAGAGGTGACACCAGCACACTGGCAACAAACAACATCTGAATCAGAGCATGTAGGTGAAATCAGACTCCTTAAAGATCGAAAATCTTTGTTTCAACACACAGAACTCATTTTGCCTCTCTGCTTGAAGTCAACAGATGCCAGCGTAAACTGATGAAAAGCATGTTCTTGTAATATAGCTAAATTTATTTTCTCTCAACTAGACAAGTGTGCATATAGATTCAATATATGTCTCAAAATAGACTATTTTACAGGAAATTCCCTATAAGCCAAACCAGAGCTACCATGAGCCTTATTTTTTATTAGCTCCCATTTAACTGTATTTCTCTGTCTGGGAGAATATGGTGGACATGATGTATACTGAATGGTATTTTAGCTGAAGTTTTACAGGGTAAACATCATAATTACACAATCAGAAGTACTTCCTTTGCTGTTTCATATTCTACTTCTGTAATACAGACAGCAGAATAAACAGAAACACACATAATTTTTAAACTAGTGCTGAAAAAGAAGTGAAAAGCAGGTACAGTTTCTGGTTTTGAACAGTGGTCTCAAGGCTAAACTCTTTGGAACTTAACTACAGGTAAGTGGCCAACCCAGCCCTATGACGTTTATAATGCAATGTTACCACAACAGTAGTTCAAATACAATACACAAAATATGACACCTTCATGAAACACTAAGCTAAAGATTATCTCAAATAAGCAGTACTCAGGCAAAAAACTTGGAGAACCTTAAGTATCTCTTCCCCTCTGACCCCAGAAATCTCACTCGGTTATCTCTATTCACACGGTCCCTACTGCAGGCCTGCTGCTTCCAAATGCCGAGCCGGCAGTGGCTGGGAGTAACTGCTTGCTGCTGTCTCCCAGCTCAGGTGAGCACCCAACCACAGATAGCTGGGAGCTGCCAACCACATAGAAATGGAGTACAAACCAAGATACTGGAGCTTTTAATCCGTTATTTTATTATACATTTACTCAGTGATTACACATGCAATCCAGCTTTTCAACAGAGTTACACCATGGGAATACACTCTTTTCACCTTTTTCAGAGGCACAAAATTCTAACTCAAAATCCATATGCACAATATTTTGCTTGAGAACTTTCTTCTAACAGTCTGGAAAGTTTAGTTATGTTCCTACACTTGGGAGAGCTTTATCTTCCCCATTTTTATTGTTGTGTACTTCAGTTAAATATGGGAGCCCCCCAGTGGCAAAAAAATTTCAAAGTGTTCATTTGGAGACTACACAGTTAGATAAATGTTTATTATGAAATAAGGTAATAAAAATTACCTTATTTACCAGCAAGGTAAGCCTCAATTTCCATTCAGCTTTACCAGTTGATTGTCATGGCCACATGCTAAATAAAAGTTAAATAACTATAAATAAATAAAAATACACAAGTTTTGATTCCTTCTCCTTCCTATATATTCGAAAGTGCATGGCAATGTTAAGGTTCCTGTTCATTTCCTGAAGGTGTGTCAGTAAAACCATCTAGATAAAAAAGTAAGTAGAAAGAATTACTGTTCTGAACAGAGATGCTACCCTGAAAAATCATAGTGTAGACAAGCTTTACATTTATTTCAGCCAACAGCATAAGAACCAACTTGGAAACAGCTTTATCTGGGTACTTCAGGAAAGCTCTGTACGAGTGCAGGGCTGCAATTACAGCTTCCTGAAAGGCATCTACCAAACAGCAGAAACCAGTTGATTCTGTATGCCAAGCAATTTGTACTCTGTTGTGCTCATCAGTACTGCAACTGTTTTTGTGCAAAATAAGAAGCTGGTTAAGGAAAATATAGTTACCAGTAGCCAATGTTTTCTCATGAATTTGTGTTTGAACACATGCTTGGTGACAGCATTTAATTATTTGAAGTTTGGAAATTTATACATAGAAAAACAGAATCTGCATTTTCTTAAAACTTGGCTTAAGGATTAAATGCTGCAATGTACATAGTGAGTATTAATACCAATTATTTAAACACATTTACGCAAAATGAACCTGAAAATTAACAAGCTATCAAAGCAAGACAATTAGCAAGACTCTTTCAAACAACTATCATAAACATGCAGGCAACTGTGCCAATTATCTAATGAGCAGATGGGGCTAAGAATCCTCCCTAATGTTCAGCATAGGTCACACACACAGATTTGCTTCTTAGACTCATTAAATAAATTAAATACAAGGAGTTGTTAAAATAACACTAAGGTTCCCACTTGAACTGCAATGACAAAATACAAACCCCAGAAATCTGTTGTTGCTAACTTGACTTGTTCAAAAACATGTACTTTTTTGACCTTTCCACCTAAGCAGTTAAAAAAACCACCATAAAGCAACAAACATGCTGCTCTCTCCACAGTATCCCAGTGCCAAGACCTCACAAAAGGAACATATGTGATCTTCTCTTAGATGTACTAAGTGGGGTTTGTGTTTGCTTCAAATCTTAATCAGATATTTACTCAGGTATTACAAAGACTCAGGATTGCTTGGGAGACAAACACCATGAGTGAGCGCTGAGTATTAACAGAGCTTTGCAGCTTCTTTGGTGGATACCCGCCATTCCAGTTTCAATGAATGCATCATGGCCAGCACATGACCTACAAAAATGTCTGATGGTTAAGTAGAGAATAAATGGTCCCATAATTGTAACTTTTAGGCTCCAATTTAGTTCACTACACAGCTGTTGTCAACATACTTATTTCTATTTCTGTTTGGCTTCCTTCTTTTTGCCAGTTTATTTATTTTATAAAAACATGCGGCAACTGTTTGCAAGACTTCCTCGAAGTGTTGCGATGGCATCCTCACAGGCAGCTTTGGAGCAAGACTACCTTAACACAGTACTGCTGTAGAAAAAAATTTATCACAGCCAAATCCACCAAGAATTTGGAGGGACGGGCCAATTTAAACATACTATTTCAAATAACATTTAATTTGAAATGAAGCTAAGAAATACTGAGTTTTCCTCAGGAGACTGCATCTCTCAAGGCAGAAAATAAGAAATAAACCAGAGTCTACAACATACCTCATTCAAAGGGCAATACGGGAAAGAGAACTTCTAAAAAAAGTGGCTAAAGATGTAATTCAAAGACTCAACAATGCAGTATATGGGGAAGTGTGGCTTTGGACTTCCACATACATGAAAACTTAAGATGCACTTGAATAGTCAGAAGAGCAGAGCAGTTAAACTTCTCAAAATTCTAATCACTGGGATTACTGATTTTAGGGGTTTTTTCTGTTTTAATGTTCCTTGAACCAACTGTTCAAAATATAAACTCTGATATGATTTCTTCTACTTATGTGGTTGAATGTAACCCAATAATGACAAATAATGGGACCTCAGCTGACTCACACACCTCTCCACTAGGGAAGGAGGCAATTTTTGTTTAACCAAGAATTATCAGAACGTTTACAAGTCCTGTGTGACCTGACCAGACATCTACCTATGCACCAGCCCAAGCTACTCTCTAAACAGTGAAGATGCAGGCAGAGAGAACTAAAAACATTAAATAAATTTCCCAGTGATGATACACACTACTCACATGAGGTTCACAGCTTTGTAATATTCTTACTCCTTACTGAGCTTCAGCAATGAAGCTATTTGCATTGAATTTTGATAAAGTCTGAGTAACAGCTGCATCACATGAAAGAACTGATGCAACAGTGATTTTCCAAGTAACATGCTGGACTTGTCTCTGTCTTCAAGTTACTTTTTGCTCCTCTTAGGAAGTTCTCCTCTCCCTAATTTTCCTGCAAGTGATGATACCTATAACCTCAAGCGGTTTTCTAAATATGTGCCAAGGTCATTCTTTCTGGAAGTGCATACCCATCCAAAATAACTATCACTTACCTTTTGAACTGCTTTCCAATTTAACAGCAATTTTGTTTTTTGTGGATCAAATTGAGTTAGCAGTGGGTTATAGTTAACCTGACTCTTGCAAGATAAAGCAGAAGCTTACCATCCTGTACTTTGACAGTTTTTTTCCCCAGTACGTTGAAAGATTGTACTACTACACAAATAAAAAAATTGACCTCTATGCACCAATCCATGAGAGATCATTGCATCCTCTGCTCTTCGAAAAGAGTACTTGTCTGTGGAGCTAATTCCTCAGAGACTGTCTTTTTACCTGAACACAGCGTAACTTCCTAATATGATCAACAGAAGGATCGTTTATCCTCCTTTCTGTCCTCCAAAACATGCATTTAATTACAGTATGAGAAAATAAGCTATGGAAGAAAGGTAAACCAGCTCTGCTCTACTCTGATACAGTACTTTCTGGTTCATCTTGAGCTTGCATCTCCCATGTGGGTTGGGGCTACAACAGACTTGGAAGAAAAATAATACTTCCAAATAACAGCTAGCCTTTTTACACACACTATGTATTATAATAAAAAGATCTAGGACATGATGACTGTTCAGCACAACTTCACAGAAGCTCAGCTGTCTTAATGGAGGAAGGCAAAGCCCCTGTTCAGCTTTAAATGGAGAGGCAGAAGTCAAACTACAGAAATTTTTTACAATGATGGTGGTGAAGCACTGGAACAGGTTGCCCAGAGAGGTAGTGGAGGCCCCATCCCTAGAAACATTCAAGGTCAGTCTGATGGGGCTCCGAGCAACCCGATCTAGTTTAACATGTCCCTGCTCACTGCAGGGGGGTTGGGCTAGATGACCTCTAAAGGTCCCTTCCAACCCAAAGCATTCTATGATTCTATGAAATCAATGCTAAATATGTAGCAGTACTAATACTCATTTCTAAACAAAGACACAGAAGCATCCTTTTCTACACCATAAAGGCTTCCACAGAAGATGTTTTCATAGCAGATATCCCAGTATTCATAGAAATGGTTACCTCTGCAGCTCTTAGCTGTACACTTGCTGCTTTATACTCTGATTCTAGTCTGTTCTTCTCAGCAGCCACTGTAGTACTCTGAAGAACCAAATCTGCTTTGAGGATGTTCAGTGATATGCAATTCTACATAGGAAAACAGAAGATGTAATTTTTTTCCACAAGAGACTCAGAAGTGATATAATCACTATCAGGCTTTAGAGTCATAGCATACAATATCACACTGTGTTGAGCTCCTCAACACTGCTGTCACATTCAATGAAAAAGAAAGATGACTTACTGGTGACCTAAGCTCTTCAAGATGTACAGTCCCCATGTATTTTTAATCTGTAAGCATATACATATTGCTTGCAATGAAACTGTTTTTCACCAAAAAAGCACATTCTCTCTCCCTACACCATATACTCGCACGTGAAATGTGAGAAAAGACAAAGCCTCCTCCATTCTTTCTCGGAGACAGAATCCAACAGGTGGATTTTGGTGGACTTAAGCCACACACAGAGATGGAAAAAGATCAAAAAATAAACACATAAGATATATGCCTCTCTCACTGACAATGCAAGATGACTGACAGGATGTACAGTGACTCTAGTGTCTTGTGTCTTAACTGCGACAGTATATGACAACAGAAGGAGGCTTTATTTTGGAAGTTTCATAACAGGCTTTAGTGATCCCCAGAACCTGGTTTGACAACTTTTACATTAAAATGGTTGCTTCTTTAAATGAGTCGGCCTCAGGAATGGTCTAGAGGCTTCAAAATCAGCAATATCTTCTCAACCGTGTCAAGGGTAGCTTCAAGCCTTGAATTATGGGACATCGAGAACACCGTTTTACCATTTTTTTAAAATGATCAGCATATAAATACAAAGGAATCCTCTCTCTTAATGAAAGGGAGGATGAGGTTCCAACTGTAGTCCTAGGGGACCTGGCAGGATGAAGTTTTGAGAGTGTCACCTTCTGACCACAATAGTGAGCCAAGGTCCAAGACCTTTACTATTTGTCATTTCAATGCAAAGTTTCTACAGTGTGAAGCTTGGACACAGGAATAAGTTTATTTGTTTCCAATCCACTTAAACAGTTTAAAAACAATAATCAGAGAAGTAAACTGTAACAAAAACCACAGTCATAACGAAAGGAGATGAAAAATGGAAAAAGTTAAGGTTATTCAGAGACAACAGTGCCAGAACCTGAAACAGCGAAGCAAGGCTGTTTCTGTCAACCGGTTGTTGACAGAATTTCCTTCTGTGGCAGAACTGAGTACGCCTGAAACATACAACTACCTAAGTTTTTATCACTTTAGTAGCCTACAGCTAGTATAACTACAAAACCTATTGAATAAAGTACAAAGACTCCTATAAACTTGGAAGCATTCATGAATTTTGGCTTGGGGATGACCAGAAACGTATGGATTTCAACAATTTTGATAAAACATATAATGAAGCATCCTTTTGTATCAGGCCATTTTCTTCTCTTCAGTACGTACTAGCGTTTATCTCCTACAGCACACAAAGTGTGAAAATTAAGCTGATACACAACTGAAATAAATCCCATATGTAATCAATACCTGTTTCAGGCAAATACCATCCATCCTCCCCTACGCCCTTGGTTTACTGAGAAATACACAGTAAGTGTCAAATCCGTTTTCCTATACTGGGTGAAAAAGAGATTAAGATACTCCTTCAGGCAGGTCATACTGCAGTCAGTGAACAACTCTGGCTGCACTTTACAACAGCAACACACCTCAACAGTTTACATACTGGGAAATGGGCATCAAATACAAAAATCAAAAGCATATTCTAGAAATTCCTGCTTTAAATACAGAGCAATTGCACAAGTTTTGAAAAGAGTTACTTTTCAATACTGTTATTACCTGCACAAGTTCTGTAAGTTCTGTAAAGTAATCATCAGCCTAAGCAACCTTTTTAATATGGCAGGTGTATTCTGCCTTTCTTTGGCATTTTCAAAATTGCTTTGGCTAGCTGACCCAAAGGCGATTCTCTGAAACACTTCAGTTGTTGCAGTCCATGCCTATCAACAAACAGAAACACCCCACCCATTCGGAGTATTTTTTTCTTTACTTATTATATAAATACCAGCAACTGAAGTGTATTGAAATCATACTCACTTCAAAGGTAATACTCAACTCTTTTCAGGGGCAAGCAAGAACACATTTCAACGTTAGTAAGACATGGCAAAGGAACAACATTCATGCTCAATGTGGTTGCAAGAATGGCACCACTTCTTGCTGAGTGCAAAAGCACCAGCAGATTTCCCTCGGAACTGAAAGTAACTGTTTCTTGTTCCTTAGTTATTAAAAAAAACCCTAAGAAAATTTACCTTGTGGCAGCTCCCATTATTAGGGCTTACAGGCTAAGCTAAAGGAACAGTTAAGTCCAAACTGTTTTCTTCTTCTTGAGTTAAAGAAAACCTCAGGACATTGGAGCCTGAGACTTGAGTAATTTTCCTATCCTAGCCCTCTTCCACAACCATGGATCCTTACAGTTTCAGGTCAATTTTTCACACGACTACTGACTACCCCTTTTTTCAATAGAAACAAAAAAAAGGAGATCATGAACTAGGGCGGAAGGAATAGTTCACCGAATTATGCAGTATTCTGAGAATGTACAGGCTGAAATGGTCACACAACTCATTCCTAGTTCATTCCTGTATTTACTGAATCAGACCATGGATTCTAAGACTTCAGTCACTGAGAGCCTAAATCAACACAAGCAAATTATCTACAAATTGAATCAATGACAGATGAACAAGTTCAAGGTCATAAAAGCTTCAAAATATGTTTAGCTTGAAGCAAATTAGCTTGTAAATGTTTACAGTTACACATCCAAATGCTGCGTGCCTCCTACTTAAGTTACAAGAATGGGACTTCTCACAACAGTGGAACACATACTGAGTTCAAAATACATACCTTTATAAGATGCATTAATTCGGTAACAAGTCTTGCTTTTTGGCTATTTATTTCTTTGATCTTTACATTTGCTTGTTGAGATTCCTTCTCTAGGTTGATAGCATCTTGTTCCAGCTGTCTTAAACTATGGGAGAAAATCAATATTTGATTAATCCTGATTAAATTATGCAAAAGTAGAAAAATTCTTAATCTTGGTGATGAACCAACAGTTGACAAGAATAGGAATTTGTATATGTAAACATTCCAAACACATTAGAGGCATTCCCAACCTATATTATGCAACCTTTTATGCAATTTAAACCTATTATGCAATTTAAACCTAAGAAATTCAAAGTCCCAAATTAAGGACTCAGAAGAAGGGACACCCTGTCCCAGGACAGCCTCAGCACCAGTGTCCAAGTGTGAAACCCAACACAGTAAGTCAAGACCACAGCACCCTCTGCACTGAAGGGGGTTGTTTCCTGGGAGTATAGGAGACATTATGGGATGCAGCAGAAAAGCATTTTGTGACTGTGCAGGAGTTACTATTGAATATTCAGGGAAGAAGCCAAATGCAGGGAAAGGGAGGGATCTAGATGACTTGGAGAGGAACAAGTGTGGGAAAACAGGGATATGGGGATAAAAGGGACAGTTACATGTAAACAGTTGGCTGGTTAATATGCTTGTCCAGCTATGGCCAACTGGCACACTCTTCTTACTCAATTGTGTTTTTCACTCTTTTCCTGGGTGAGGGACTCTCTGTTCAGCATTCGTGTGTACATATGGGAGTCTAAGTGCAAGCAACTATAGTCAGATCACAAGTCAGAGGAGAGGCCTCCTTGTCTGTGGTGCCAGCAATGAGAGACCAGAGTGAGTAGACTTAAGTGACAGCCACTGGGGTGGGACCACAGGTCAGAGGCCCATGTGTCCACGGCACCAGCACCTGGAATAAGTGCAAGTGAGTGTTTGGTCCCTAGTGAAGACCAAGCCAGACCAGCTGACAAGTAGGTGAAGTGGGCTGGGAGTCAAGGGGGTACATGTGTGACTAAGGGTGAGACCCACAGGAAGAGATGGCTATTGGAGGGACCAGGGGAGTCCAGCCTGGCTGCCAGAGATCATGAGGTCTGCTGTCTCTGGGGGTGAGACCTGCTGGCATGTTGCTGTATTTAAGGGTAACATGACTGGGGTACTGGCTATTGGGGGGGAACTAGGGGAGTCATGGCTACCTCTGCACATTTGGATGCCTGTATGTCTCCGAGGGCAAGACCATGGGGTTGGCTACTGGGAAAGCAGGGAGTCCCAGCCAGTTCTGCATGCTGTGTAGCATGTGCATCATGGGTGAGAGAGGCAGTCTGTACAGGCAACAGGAGCAGGGCTGCAGCCTTGGGCGTTTGCATGTCCAGGCACCAGCACCTGCAGAGACTGAGGTCCAGGGGCAGCTACTGTGCAGACTCAGAGTGTCTGGACCCAGCTGCTGATGGGATCCACATTGCCCAGATGTATGCTAGGGGAGGCCCACCCTGCCCAGACAGAGTAGGAACATGATGAGGCCACCGGTGTTGTGTTTGCCCAGTTGCTCTGTGTGTCCATCTGTGCTGTGTGGCTGGCCGTGTGCAAATATGTACATACGTGCTGTTTAGATGCGTTGTGTGAACGTGTCTGCTGGGAAGACAGGCTCAGCCTCACTACTGGTTGCACTGGGAGCATTAAGCTGCATCACTCCCACCTTCCTCTCAGGCTGCTGGATCCAGACCCATTCTCCTAACTTTTTCAATGCGTCTCCCACAATACTCAAGTTGGAAGACTACAGTGTGGATGGATGGAAGAATAGGTAGTGGTTGGATGGTCAGTCTCAGAGGGTCATGGTTAGCCTGTTGTATTCTGCCTGGAGGCCAGTATCAAGTGGGGTGCCACAGGACTAAGTCATAGAAAAAATCATAGAATCATTTAGGTTGGAAAAGACCTTGAAGATCATCAAGTCCTGTTTAACATCCCTGCCAGCGACACGGAGGAGCAGAGAGAGGGCACTCTTGTCAAGTGTTCAGATGACACTAAACCAGGGGGAGCAACAGCCCTGCTGTTCAGAGGGGTCTGCTGAGGACGGTCGACAGAAGGCTGATGAGACTCAGCAAGGACAAATGCAGAGTCCTGCCCCTGGGAAAAAAGTGGGTCTGGCAGCGATACAGGCCTGGGACAGACTGGCTGCGGAGAAGCTCTGCAGGGAAGGACTTGCGGTATTGATGGACAATGAGCTGAGCATAAGCCAGCAGTGGGCCCTGGCAGCAGCAGTGTACCCCAGCATCCTTGGCTGTATGAATGGAAGCACAGGCAGAAGGAGAGTGATTTTTCCTCTCTGTTCAGCACCGCACCCAGTTTTCTCCCTGCCCCAAACATCAGCAAACTGGAACAAACTTGGAAAGCAACCAAGATGCCAGGGGCTACAGCACAAGGCCTGCAAGGACAGTATGAGGGTGCTCAGCTTGTTCACCCGACAAGAGACAGCTTTGGGGCATCTAATAGCAACCCCCCGCTATCCTACCCTCAAGGAAGCCACTGACAGGATGGAACCAGGCTCTTATAAGAGGTGCATAGTAGAAGGATGACAGACAGGGGGCATAAGTTGAAAGAAGAAAAATCCAGACTGTGTGTCAGTAGAAACGTCTTCCCCCGTAAGGACAGTTAAGCAGTGGAACAGGATGTCCAAACAGATCATGCAATCTCCATGGAGACTTTCAAGATGCAGGGGGATACAGCCCTGAAAACCTGGTCCGAATTCAATGTTGACCTTGCTTTGAGAACATGGCTGGACTACAGACTACATGAAGTCCCTCCCAACCTAAGTGATTCTGTCATTGTATATTATTTTCAAAATTATATCCAGCTTTATTCAGATACTTATATCATTTAGAAACATGAACATTTGAAAATAGTTATACTCACTGCAAGGATTATTTAATTAATTTCTATCTGTATAGAAAGACATCCACATTACACAAGAAAATTTGTAACAGCCTCATTTATAATTGTGTCAGTATTCTTACCCCTATTCAAAATTAAAAGAGTGTAATTATTTTTTCAAAGGGAAGGATTTAATCATTATTTGTTTAGGTAAAGGGTCCACCTCCTGCCTTCAAACCGTATTCTGTATTCAGTAAAACAGCATGACAATACATGTATCCCTAATAAGAAACCTGAGAGCAACACTTGTCTTTGAGGCTGAGCTCATATCCACACAGTTTAAAGCTGCTTCTTTTCACAGCAACCTGGACACTTGTGACTATACAGCAGTTAATTCTGGTCCCTCTAACATCCCTGAAGCCCTATTTTTCTTTCTTTTTTTCCCCTCAACGCTCTCTTTTCAGTTTAATGCACCGTAAGTAATGCAAGAGCTGTGTTCACAAGCACCAGCACCAACTTCCAGAAAATGAAAAGCAGTGTGGCATAAGAACATATAGGAATATCTGAGGGTACAAGGTCTTGCCGGGACTGTGTTACAGGAGCGGAGGGAGTAAAGCCTGGGGCAATCTCATCTACACTGCCTTCCAGGAGTGTGAGCTTAAGTGAAATACCTCTTGAACCATGCCTGCGTTCTCCCTTATGACAAAGCAGTAACAGAAGAACTATTTGCAGAGACCCACAAAACCAGAAAATACATTAAGACAAATACTGTGGACAATCAAGGTCCAATGTGATCCCTGACATTCTTACTTAGTACCATTTATGTACATACAGTATTATCTAGATAAGTGCTACCAAGGCAGAAGACTATGGTAATATTTGAAGTAAATGAGTACAATAATCTCTCGCTGGAATCCTATGATTTTATTACAGGAAACCACTTCGAACATTGCTACATGGCTTCTCCAATACTGTCTTAATCTCCATTTCTAAACACCTTCTTTGTCTTGATTATCACCTGTATCTGATGCTCAACTACTGGTTACTTTGTAAGGGTAAAAGCACACTGCAGTAAGAGGAAGCCAAAATACCTTTGTTATTAAAATGGTTCATGTTTCATAGATAATATGGTTTGTTTCCTACCTATCATACTTCACACCAATTTTTGATTCCAACTGTCTCCTCCTGTTTCCTCTCTCTAAAAGCTCCTTCTTCTGCTGCCTGAGCTCATTGTCTCTGCGTTCCAGATGTTTCTGTCTCTCATACAATGCAGCCAAACGCATATCCAATGACTTTAATGTGTTATTGATGTCCTGAAATAAAAGAACACACACTACTAGCATTCTTACTACAAACATACCATACTAACACATCCAAGTAGGCTATGCTTGTTGCACGATAAAATGGGTAGTAGTTCACATCATATACAGCACAGAAATAAACTCCTACCTGTTGCTGGTTTTCCAGCTGTCTTCTTTCATCTGTATCCACTGAACTAGTGAGAAACTGTGCCGCTTTCAGGGATGTGTTAGTAGAGAGGGTTAGGTTTGTATAAGCAGATACTTTAACAATGTATTTTTCTTCTGCGGTGTATATTTGCCTAAGTTTGGTTTCTTGTATGACCTAAAAAAACACACAAAAATATTAATCTGACAAAAGCATTACTTAAGGCAATGCTTTTCAGAACAAGGAATAAACTAGCTAAAATCCACAGTAAAGAACTTCAGTTTATGCAAGACTGACTTGTTAACAAGCCTTTGTAAAAAGATGATGCTAAGTTTAATGCATCATTATACTTGTAATTCAGACCGGTGAGCAAAGAACTGTTAAGATACTGTCAAACAGAGTATGTTACCATAACCAATTAAACAGGTTCTGATTGTTCTGATACTACAGATAGACACTGGAAATACCTGTTAATATTTGTACTGCATCATGAACAAGGGTTGTACTTGTCATAGATACAGAACATGCAAATGTAGCCTGTGTACCAAAGAACCAAAAGTACTTAAGAAATTAATAGATGAAACCATAAGGTGAGCTGTAATGCATGAACTTCAGTGAAGCAAATGTAACTGCAGGAAAAAAATGAGGTATAAAAATACTAGAGCTACTGTTTTTAAATGACTCATGTCAAAAAGGACATTATAAATAATCAAAGATTTACCATAACGCAAGGTAGTATAGTACTTCAAAAGAATATAAAGTGTCTAGTAAACCAGGAACAGCAAAAAGCCTCCATAGGACAACAGAAATTTGACTAAGGATCTTTTTCATTTTATATATACAGCACCAGCAATATTCTGTTGATTTGGTTCCTGGACACTGAAAACCATGTTTACTTTGCTTTACAGCTCAGGCTGTGGTTGACAACTTCTCCGTCCTAGTCCTTTTTCCACATGCTCAGCTCTGTGAAACAGGTCTCCCTTTAAACCAAAGTTTTCTCTGGCATGTGAGAAACAAAATGTTGCAAACAATGCATTTCTCAATCAAAAATAATAAAAACAAAGAAAAAACTTTACACAACTGAACTGAGAAAGCACCATGTGCAACACGTTCAGAATAGCGGCTCATCTTTGCCCCTAGACCAGCGATTTTTCACTTGCTGCCCACAGAGCTCTGGAAAGTACGGAGTATCTAAGGAGTAATTCTGACTGGTTTACAAAATGTAACTCAAAAGACCTATTATATAGGTAATCTGCTTCACCAGCTAATAAACACAAAGTGGTGGAAGAATTGCAGTTTAAGACAAAAATGCCTAGAAAAAACATGAGAAGAGCTTTTCATCTAGGATTCCCTCCACTTTTACCTTCCTCATTCTTACAGCCTCGGAAACATAGAAGATAGGAAGGGGCAACAGCTATCTCAATAGAACAGGCATTGTTCTCTATCTGAAGAGCCTGTTCCCCGAGTTTCTCAAAAAAGCAATTCTTACTGTTCTCAGAGAGCCCAAAGAAGTCTTCTGAACTCAAAGAAGAGTTCGCTCTCTCTGCATGATAGACAACAGATGTCCAGCATAGACAGAGAAGCGAGTAAGAGTTTAAGTTGAAAACTGTCATGTGTGTTACCCATTATAATCCAGCAATGATGAGCTTGCAAGAACCCATGAAAGACTAAGGTAGGGAGAATACTCCTAGTGGGAGTTCTTAGCCTTTTTCTAAAAATCCAAAAGGTTTATACACTATTTATCGCACGAATTCTGACTGAAGCTATAGAATTGTTTTTGCTAGAAACTGAACATTTTAATATATTTAAAAAACAAACACACACACCCCCCACCCCCCCCAGCTTCTAATTGTTGCTTTAAACACAACAGGTCAGCATTGTCATGTACTATTAACTGTTTGATTAAAATTTTGCCCAGAACATCTCAGGCACTTAAAGTAGAAGTTATTATAACAAAACAACTTCATATAACTGACTTGGAACAGTATGCAGGTATATTTAACTTTCTGTGAAGTACTGCATTAGATTGCCTGGATTTGTTAAAATGTCTTGCAATATGTTTGTGTATAATGAACTGTTCTCACTTCTAAAGGCCAAATAAAAGAAAAAGCATTTTTTTTTTGCTTTCTTCACATTAACTTGCCAAAGAATTTCCAAAATATAACTCTAGACCACCGGTGTGTTTGTGCTATTTAGGACATCTCACCCTTTCAATCATGTTTCTGGTCTTCTCTGTTCCCACAGGGACATCATGAACACGGTACTGGGAGCAAAGATAACTCATCACAGGATGAGGAGCATCAAATAACTCTCGTAAATATGAGAAAAATCCGTATCGGCTGAAGAGGAGGGAAAAAAAGCATGCATCAGAAATAAAATTTGGCAGGTAAGCAACCTTAAGTTCTGAAGGGTCAGAAAGAAGTCCCGCTAATCCAGAACTGAATTGGTGAAAATATGAGTTGCATAGAAAATTCTAACACATAGCAACAAGACCAAAACATTGTATTTAATATCATTCCCCACTGATATGATCTCATACATACTGTAATTCTTCAATAGGTCTCGAAGGTAAGCTTTCAGCACATGATTTGGCAGGCGCGCATACAGCATTCACTCTTAGTTTCTGATGATCGCGCATCTAAATACAGATTACATTAGATTATGTGGTAAAAAAAAAAGCAGAAAAAAGTCATTATATGAAAATCAAGTATTTATTCGTGATTCACAGAATCGGAATTATTTTAAACTGAGAACCTCTGGAAGAACCCACAAAAATCCACTCTGGCTCAGGCATGACTGAGTTCTCTAAGAGCCAAGCTCAGTTAATGTCTCTCTGTGAAATTACCATGCATTAGAGAAAACAATAGCAATCAAAGAAATCCAGAGCCAGGTGCTCAACCTAAATAGCCAAGCTGGATGTAATAAGGAAGCCCCCTCTTTCAGGCTGTATAGCTATTTTGCACAAATAATGGCAGACCACTGGCTACAGAGACTCTGAAAAGCCTGATTCTAGCAGGGCAGAAAAGATTGAGGCTACAAATGAAAGATCAGTCTAGCTAGTTAAAGGAGCCCTTGCACTGGGTTCCACAACCATGGAGGCAAGACAAGCCCCCAGAACCTCAGATATCACCACTACTGTTCACGTATATAAAAATGACTAGCTTCTGTGAAGGACAGACAGATCTTCAAAAACTGCAGGACAGTTTGTCATTAATCACACTATTCTGTGGACAGTAGCTAGGAAGCATTATGACAGTTAATGCCCTATCTTGTGGCTTTTTTCTCCTGCACATCTGTCTGGCTCTCAAAGGGAACAACCTCCTTATCACTCCAGGAAACAGCAGTATTAAGAAAATATAAGCCTGATTTACTGCTTGGACCATTGTCTTCTCTCAAAAGATGCCCTCTCGCCTCTTTAGTCAGGAGGCACTGCAAAAGCTTGGTACCACATTTGTAGCTTCCTGCTCTTGTCATTTTCTTGTACACAGTATTTTCTCCTTAGTGATTATTGCCTTGTCAAGGAAGACAAAAGTTATTTCTAAAAAGAAATATTTTCTTAATATTCCTGCGTCTCTCCAGTTTGTCTAGGCTTTAAAAAAAAAAAAATAATTCTTACTCCAGAAGAAAATGTTAATCCAGAAGAAAACCTTTGAATACTTTGTATTAGCTATTGTGCTGATCTTGCCAATCAAAACTTAATAAATACAGACTTACTTGGTAGACTCCAAAGTTTAGGGGTCTTATGTCAGTATTTAATCAATTTTTAAAATTGATGCCTACTTGCCTCCACAAGAAACATTTCCATATCTTCTTGACTCTCAAAAACGAAAGCCCTCATGTCACTGGCTGAAATGTGATTTTCAACATATTTAGCATGTCTGTTGTCCTTCATATTGATCTGATAAAGAAAGGTAGTGAGAAAGTGATTTAATTCAATTGGACTTAACCCCCCCAACCATTTTAAGCAGTCAGATGATATCCAAGCCTACATTTAATGAAAACAAAGACAATGTTTTTAAACATTATCTTTAAAGACATATTCGCTGTCTTTTTGCAACCAATTCTCATGGAAGGAAACCTACAGTAACTCACATGTCATTGTGTTTAGTTTTTAGCCATCCACATCCTTTCTAAGCATTCCTGGAGCTATCACTGTCTCCACCATATCACACCCCACCTCCTTCTGCTCCACCCTAATCTTACAATTGCAACTACCACCATGTCTAGTGGCTCTGCTCCAGTACTACTAAAGGTATCTCACTGTTTAGAAACAATTAAGGTAAGGAATCAAAACCAGAAAATGCCACACTCCACAAATTATCATATGCAGTTCCCTTTCACTCAGACACAGTGAACATCCCCAAATACAAATAGAGAATTGTGAAGCCCTAGAAAGAAGGATATTCACAGATTGATTGAATTCTCTTTGAATTCTTAAAAAAAAAAAATCCACATTTAAGATGGATGAAGCTTTTCATATCTGAATGAAATGTTAATGTCACAATTCTTCAGTAACTCTCACTAGTAATTACACATTATGTCACTACACATGACATAGAAAGGCAAAATTACACAGAACTACACAATTCAATAACCTCACGTTGGCAGTTGAGGTACACTTAATAGCAATTTGAAAGCTAGAGTTTATAACTACATGAGACTAATTTACACTATATGTAAATGTATATGTAATGTCTGAAAACAAATTCAGATATTAGTGGATGTTACAGAGGTTAATGAGGCCTTAAAGTAAAAGCAAAGGCATCCTATCAAGGCATTTGTAAAATTAACTTGATGCGGTTTTCCAGGAAGAATTGTAAGTTCTGGTAATAACTGGAAATACTTGGTATTTTATACTAAACAAAAGTAATTTTGAAGAGTTCCAGTGCATGCACAAAGCATTCAACTAACTTAAATTGTAGCAATACACTATTAAAATAAGCTTGCAATTCTGAAGAGGAAGATGAGGAGTGCACCAGAGTTCTTCATCCTCTTCACATTACATGGAGCACATATTGTGAGGCTGGGATAACAGTGGAGGAATGCACTAGAAAACCAATAGCCTCTTTGAAAACTTAGCCCTGCTATTCCTAGCTAGTACAGCCTCTATCAAATCATAACACAAAACAAAACGAGGGGTAGATCAGGTGTTTCTGTGTCCGTAGCTAGCTGTGCAAAGCAATTCTCGAAGTCTTGCAAAACACAAATTAAACTAAACATTAACTGGTTAGAGTGATATACAAGTAAATTTTCTTACTTCAAGCATCATGGGTTCACAAACTTGTTTTTTAAACTTGTCTTTGTTCTTTCTTAGCCACATAAGAGCAGAGTGTGTGTCTCGGAATCTCCCTTTAAGATTCTCTTCCTTCATATTCATTATGTTATTAAGTTGTCCAAGGCGATCAATTATTCCTGTAATTTAAAGCAGTTTCTCAAACAGAGTCCACAGCAAGTACACATTTTAATTAGCATTTTCCTATATTTATTGACTATGCTACTCCAGCAATAAGGTTGTTAGAAGATTATAAGAATTAAGTTTCTCTTCCCACAATCAAGATGCTGCTTATTATAAAGAAATCTTATGAACTATTAAAGCTTAAAATCTAAAATAAAATCACACTTACCCAAAGGATAACAAAATGCGGCAGCGCAGTAAAAAGATGGGAATTTAGGCCTAAAAATCTCTCTCTTCAAAACTTGTTCTACCATTGTATTTAAAACCAAAAATGCCCCAGGAGGAAGCGGGACTAGCAACATGAAACCTCTGAGTGTTATTTCATGCTTGCAGAAAACAGAAAGTGTGACAATAGACTATGTGTGAAAGCATTTGCTATTCAGGAGAAACAGAGATTGAATACTTTCTATGCTTCTTAAGGTAAAATACATAGTGTCTCCTTCCTTAGGTCACTTGGTCTCTCTATACCTCAGTTTCTTCTTGGATTGTATGACAAGTGTCAGACAGACAGGTACATGCAAACATCCTACACTCACTGAGGAATATATACCACACCCCCTACCTGCCAAGCTATAATTTTTGAATTTTGTTTCTTGGAAAGAACTGATCATAAATCCTAGATTAGTATAAAGGAATTTACTATAATTAAGCTTAGCTCAAGTTCATCTAGAAAGGACAAGAGCAGCATCAGTAGCTAATATACTTCCAAAGAGATAATTTTAAACACTGCATCTTCAAAGCAAACTGCTTTTGCTTCAGGTTTGTTTTTTTGTATCCTGCTAACAGTACACACCTTAATTAAGTAACAGAAAAAAATGAAACTGGCAAAGCAGTCTCCTTACCAAGAGAACAGAGGAAGCTAATTCTTTTGAAGGATAGTTTTAAGGTCAGTTGCCCCTTTTCAACCTTTTTGTTCTCTCTGTTTTGGAAGTGGTTTCTGTTACTTTTAATAAAACTGAGAACAGACAAGAGCACTGCTATACATGTAAGATATAGCTACTTGTATCTTAGGCCTGAGGTAAACATCTCAAATTATTTCACTACAGCAGGACAACAGGTAGATGCTGTGAGAACAATCATTTAACACAAA